CTACCTCGGTTTTGCTATATATTGCTTAATATAATAGATATTCCAGGTGTGCTTAGTATTTTTTTGGTGACGCGTAATAGTTATTCTCGTCCTTCCGGGTAGGGAAATACGCGCGACTTAAAATAGCAGTGAGATAAACGGTCAGGGTATAGTAGTCGTTAGCGATGCAACACCACACCGAATAACTCGACCTTACCATTGGCCTGCCGATAATAGACCAGCGAGCGCGACAGCGACCTTGTAACATTATACGATTATTAACACGCGCATCGCAGATCATCGCCGTCGCCGCCGCCGCCGTTACCGTCGCTCGTGATTACGTGATTTTTCGTAAATTATCGCGCGGTGCGGTATTATCTATTATCGTTAACCGCATTTTAATCAACAACCACAGCAGTGCGTTAGCGGGCCACATTATCAAAATAACAACAGCTGCGTGATAAACAGTTTGTTTTTTTTTCCGATTGTTGTTAATTTCAATTATTCGAATTTTTTTTTTAACATTTCTTTTCTTCACTAAGTCTCGTTTAGTGACGCGTATACTACACCTCCCTCTGCGTGTACTCCAATCAATAGTTTATTGTTTCGAATAGTTGTAATTAGAATTATTTATAATTAATTTTTACACTATGTCGAGCATATATATTGATCAACTGACGTTGACGGAGTTGCGTCATGAGTGTGAGAGTAGGCTGATACCGTCATCCGGGTCCAAAACGGACATCGTAACAAGATTAGAGGAACATTTGCGCACAACCGGTGTCGACCCATCGAGGGTACTTTTTCAGATTTCTGTCGGCGACGGACAGGTACGGGGCGATTCGACAGTGATGGCGGTAGACACTACGCCTTCCACTAACGCAAGTTTGTTGGGGGGTGACTTTGATAGTAACCGTTTACAGTCGACATCCAACCCACTCGACACCGCGAACACCGGAAATATTTTTTCGTCTGCCGCAGCGCAACTCGAGCCGCTACGTCAATCGATCGGTTATCAAACCGAACGTATCGCATACGAATTACGCATTACGAAGTTGGAAGCGAGTTTAGCGCAGCTTTTAAATGAGCAACGACAAAACTCGCGGGGATACGAACCCGACGTGTCCACCCAACACCAATCGCGACGCGAATCGGTACGTCTTCCGGTAGACACTCACGTCAATACGTATGCGCACGCTCACCATCAAGAAATTCCGACCGTTTTTCAAAGTGACAACCACGCGCCCGCACAGGCGGGTGACGACCGCGTCAACACCGCAGCGAGTACGTCGTATTACACACGCAACTTGACCGGTCAACAAACGGTTTTAAATAATTCGCGGAATTTTTCGTCATTCGCACCGCGATCACAGGAACGTTCTGTATTAATTCCGTATGAGGATTTGCGCGCCGCAAGAGCTTCACTACCCGAATTTTCCGGAACAAGGGCCGAAGACCCCATACGATTTCTAAATAATTCGGAATCTGTCCTATCGCAGGCGAAAATACACATGTCCGGCTGGTGTAGAGCTATTGAACCGCAATTAAAGGGTACGGCCGCGACTTGGTGGAACTCCATTAAGGTCCTGGAACTATCCTGGGATGAATTCCGAGTCGAATTTTTAACAAATTTCGACAATGACGAAATTCAACTTCGGTTGCGCGCTGATATATTGTCGACACGTCAGTCCGCGACACAGTCGTTAACGGAATTTATTTTGGATAAAAACCAACTCGCGCGTCGCGTAAATACTGGCCTATCCAAAGCGGATTTGGTTCTGTACATTACCGGATTAACGCGCGATGAATTCCGTACGCACATACGACTTCGACAGCCGTCTACTTTCGCCGAGCTTCGACGCATCGCGAGTATTTTAGATCCTGTCGTATGCACACCATGCTCAACCCCGCGACGTGATAACAATCAACCCGGGCAAAGGAGGTGGCAATGTCGGGACACGGGACAACCCGTTTCACAACCCCGCGCGAATGCCCCGAATAGGAACGCGCATGCGTCTCAACCGCGCGCGAACTTGTCGCAGAGAGGTCCGCCGGGGCCGTGTAGGACTTGCGGCGAATTGCACTGGCACAGCGAGTGTCCGCACAGGCCGACCACGTCGGGAAACGGCGGGGGAGCCAGGGGGAACTAGTCCACCCCATTGACTCCGATCAACCCAACCACACCACATTCGGTATTACGGGTGGTAAAAATTTAGGCGATTTTTGCACAATTTTTTCCACCGCGTCGTCGGCGAACACATCGTTCAACGCACAGGACGACACATCTGACCGCGGCGTCCAGTTTCAGACCCCAACCTACACTAATACTCCCCCCTCAATCACATCACACCCCCCCATCAATTCAACCACCCCAAAGGTGGCCATTCACAGTGTAAGGACAAAGGCAACTGATTCTCGGACGTTTACAAACAGTAATGGGGGCGCATCACATCACTCATTGCATACCCCCACGTCAGTCACACCTGTAGAAGATCGGCTAGCGAACACAGAGGCAATCGAAACGGATGCTTTGGTTATGGCAATTCAACCTGCTCAACAAACATCTTTGGTCGCGGTTAAGAACCAATTGTCCCGTTCCGCTCAGCCATCTAAGTCAAATATCGTCTCGCGAACACGCCCAGATAAAATTCCAACCCCCGCGGTCGAACTCGAATTTCCGTCAGGCTTCGTAACGGCACTTTTAGACTCACAGGCACAACAATCGTATGTAAATCCGACCATTGCCATTAAATTCGGCACACCCACCCACGGACTAAAATCATCAGTTCGAATGGCAGACGGCCGCATTGTTCCAACTAACGGCTCAGCTGTATTCGAAACTAGGATAGGCACGTTAGATATCAAATTCGAAGCGACTATCTTAAATGATCTGTATTGCGACGTATTACTAAGACACGACTTTCTCGTTCAAAACGAAGTCTCTTGGGATTACGCCGCATGCACAATTCACATGGGTTCACAGATTAGGACATCGACATGCTGGAAGGGCCAACCGCTGCCACCTAGCGCGATTCCTGATTTAAGTCAGTTAGATATTGGGGGCGACCGACAAACTCGCGCGAGACTTACTGCAGTGTTAAACAAATATCCAGTAGTATTCAGCGATAAGGTAGGCCGCACCAGATTAATCGAACATGAAATTCTGTTAAAGAATCCCACTCCTATCGCGCTAAGACCTTACCCGTATCCAATTAAAAAACAAACTGAAATTGATAGTATGGTGCGCGATATGGAAATTCAAGGGCTCGTAGAGCCAAGTACCTCACCGTGGGCCGCACCGATAGTTCTAGCGAAAAAGAAGGACGGAACCGCTCGACTTTGCGTTGATTATCGGCGGCTTAACGACGTAACCGTATCCGACGCGTATCCAATGCCCGATTTAAATAAAATGATCCGGCAAATGCGGGGCGCGAAAGTCTTCAGTGTACTCGATCTCAAATCTGGCTATTGGCAAGTCCCACTTAGCACTGACGCGAGGAAATACACGGCATTTCGGACACGTAGAGGTCTTTTTCAATTCCGAGTACTACCTTTTGGTCTAAAAAATAGTCCCATGACTTTCGTTAGACTTATGAATGAAGTTTTGAGGGGATATTTGGATGAGTTCGTACAGGTCTACTTAGACGACATCATTATTTTTTCAAAAAATGATTACGACCATTTCACCCACTTAGACAAAATTCTTGAACGTCTACAAAGATTTGGACTAACGTGTCACCCAAAAAAATGTAAAATTTTCACATCACAAATTTCATTTTTGGGGCACATTGTAGACGCTGAGGGCATCGGAAAACAACCGGAGAAATTAGAATGTATCAACAATTTTCAATTTTCCGGTTCCAAAAAAAGTTAAGGACGTTCGTAGATTTATGGGGGTTTGTAATTGGTACAGTCAATTCGTTGACAACTATACCGACATTATAGCCCCACTTTCGAATCTGTTAAAACAAGGGGTAAGATGGAGATGGACAATTACGGAACAGCGCGCGTTTGAAAACATTAAGCGCGCATTGTACTCGTCACCGAAGTTATCACCTCCAGATTATAGCGCACCGTTCTGTTTACAAACTGATGCTAGCGAAATTGGCGTTGGAGCAATCCTATTCCAACGGGGTGACAGCCCGGAGGACAGACGCATAGTTTCCTACGCGAGTAAAAAGTTTAGTGACACGCAAAAACGGTATTCGGCAGTAGAACGCGAATGTTTGGCTATAATTTGGGCGACGGATAAATTTCGGCCGTATCTTGAAACCCGACGTTTCGAACTCTTGACCGACAACGCGGCGCTAACATGGCTACATAGGGCAAAGGACAAAAATTCTAAATTAACGCGGTGGTCTTTACAACTAGCGAATTTGGATTTTAGCACGGTACACGTACCGGGTAGGCTCAACGAGGCACCCGACTTACTGTCGCGAGATCCTGCGCCTGGCGAACCGGTAAACGAGGACAGCCTCGAAGATAAGTTAGTTGGGGTCCCCATCACCCACACCAATCACGGACCCAAAACCGACAATCTTTTTTCTACTTTCGCCGCCAACGATAGAAACGCGCCCATCACAACGGATATTCTCGCAGAAGGCAATCCGAAGACTCCGCCACGGCCGAAATAATTCAGCACATCACAGCGGACACCCCGGCGCGCAACACGAGAAGCTCCAAAACCGGAATAGACACATATGTTTTTTCCGATGTACTTCTTCGTATAAACACCGGCCATGACTCCCTCGTCGTAATACCCAAGTCCAAATCACAACACATAATTTGGAGGTATCACGATCACCTTTTAGCTAGTCATCCAGGATGGAAAGAAACGTACAGGGCAGTTAGGCAAAGGTTCTACTGGAAGGGTCAGAAAAACGACGTCAGGTTATACGTAGGTGCGTGTCATGTTTGCGCTTGCACGAAACCACTTAACACACGTCCCGATGACCCTATGCGCGCTAGAACACCAAAACAACCATGGGAAGTTATTAGTATCGATCTTATGGGCCCCTACCCACGCACGCACAGGGGCAAAGCATACATACTAGTAGCGACCGACTGTTTTAGCAGGTGGACCGAGGCTTACCCACTAGGCACCGCCACCACTAAGACAATAACCGAAACACTCGAGCGCGAGTTCTTTTCACGTTTCGGTTATCCACGCGTGTGTCTCAGTGATAACGGCCCCCAATTTGTCTCAACCGAAATGAAAAGCACGTTAGATAGTTGGGGAACGGAGGGTTGGACAACTCCGGTATACCACCCGAGGGTCAATCCCGTTGAGCGTCGTAATCAAGAACTAAAAAAAGGTTTGCGCGCACAACTAGTGAATGGCAAACATAGTTCCTGGGACACAAAACTGGCCCCGATTCTGTTTGCGATTAGGAATAGGCGTAATGAGCAGACTGGCTATACCCCTGCGACACTCGTTCTGGGCAGAGAATGCAGAAGACCGGGGGATTGGGCACTGTCGTCATCATCGCACGTTCTTGTCGACTTACATGAAAAGGACAGGTCAGCGCGCGAGCAGCGTGTTTTAGGTGACAAACCAACGGCGGGTGGTAGCAATGACTCCAAGTTTTGCGAGGGCGACGTAGTTTACTACAAGTCACACCACCTGTCGAAGGCACACGATGGGTTCCATGCCGGTTTCGCCCCGAAGTGGTGGGGACCGGTAGCACTTGCAAAACGAGTCGGAAAAGGAGTTTTTACCTTATCTTACCTTCGGGACCCCGCTCACCTCACCAGGGCGCACCCCGTGAAATTCCTCACCACCGCGACCACGACCATCAGCACGGACGTTGCTGTCGTACCCGGCTGTGTGGCTTGGCGGGGGAGTATGACGCGGTCCCGCGGTAGGTGGAGGTACAGCACGTACACCACTATCACGGACCGCGCCGGCTCTCTACCCAGCCACAACCTGGAGCAACGACAATACCGGCCCGGCAAGACCTCACCTACCTCGTATATCGGGCAGAGGGGGGGACCGTTGCCGGAAACCGGTGACAACGTACTCACCGTACCGCAAAGGCGGTCTGTGCTGTTTTGACCGTCATACGACGCACATAGTAATCTTTGTTTTTTTTTGTCGTTGTGACCACTGCCACACATTATACCGATACTTTTCTTGGTGTGCGTTATTGTTATTAATATTTTTTTTCAATATATATATATATATATATATATATTGTGTCATCACGAATCCGGTACTATTATTTTTATTATTGATATTATATTATTTGAACCGTGTTCACCGCACTTGCGACCGTGCCCCACAACACCACCACTTAGAAATTGACCGGCTCCACACCCGAGGACTACGTACGGGCCGCGTCA